GCTGGTTATAGCTATAGTTTAGCAGGTTATAGCTATAGTTTAGCTGGTTTTAGCTATAGTTTAGCTGGTTTTAGCTATAATTTAGCAGGTTATAGCTATAGTTTAGGTGGCTTTAGCTATAGTTTAGCTGGCTTTAGCTATAGTTTAGCTGGCTTTAGCTATAGTTTAGCTGGTTTTAGCTATAGTTTAGCTGGTTTTAGCTATAGTTTAGGTGGCTTTCGCTATTGGTTAGCACGTTATAGCTATAGTTTAGCTGGTTTTAGCTATAGTTTAGCTGGCTTTAGCTATAGTTTAGCTGGTTTTAGCTATAGTTTAGCTGACTTTAGCTATAGTTTAGCTGGCTTTAGCTATAGTTTAGCTGGTTTTAGCTATAGTTTAGCTGGCTTTAGCTATAGTTTAGCAGGCTATAGCTATAGTTTAGCTAGTTTTAGCTATAGTTTAGCTGGCTTTAGCTATAGTTTAGCAGGCTATAGCTATGGTTTAGCTGGTTTTAGCTATAGTTTAGCTGGTTTTAGCTATAGTTTAGCTGGTTTTAGCTATAGTTTAGCTGGTTTTAGCTGTAGTTTAGCTCCTGCTTTTCTTGTTTTAACTGTAAATTGAGTAAAAGTTTGACCAGTTTTGTTCCTTCTCAGCTTCAGTTTAAAACTCTGGTTTGAAAAGCGGCGGGCGATATGCATTCCTTCAAGGAAAGCCGGTCCTTCAAATAAATTTGAAGTCAAACGTTTCGGACATTTTTATTTTCTGGGATTCTGGGCGAACGGGGCCCGGCACGCCGGCGCTCCCTCACCTCCTCCGCAGGGTTGATGTCGACGCCTTTGTTGAGCTGATCCTGAAGCAGCGACACCATGGCGTTGTTGCCCGGCACCCGGTAGATCCCGGTGTACTCCAGACCCATCTCCTCCACCAAACCGCAGCAGAACTCAACGATCATCGGGATGAACTGCAAGGCGAGCACAAACCGAATGTAACCGCGAGCGCTACGAAGATAAACACCTGCACACAGGAAGAGACGTGTGGCGGACCTTGTTATTCACACCCGGCTGACATTCCTCCAGCCTCACGCCGAAAGCTTTGGGCCCGGCCTTCTTCGTCTTCTTTATGATGTTAATTCCCCACGGAGACTTCGGAGGGCTGCTCTCGTCTGGAAACAAACAGAACAGTTGAGGGAACCCTCTTACCTGCAGTTTACAGCACAACAAGTTGGCAAACAGAAGAAACTCCCACTGATTTCACACAAACTGAAAACTACAAACGTGGGATTTCACAGGAAGACGACCGAACCGGATAACTCAGAGCTGAGGAACCGTTCACGGCTTCAATCCACAACTAAACACAAACATTCGGCGCCCGTGCCTCTCCTTCACAGACCTTTGCCTTCTGGTTTCGGGGAGCGTGGTGCTCCGGACGCGTTTTCCGTTTTATTCAGCAGGAACGGCGGCATCATGCGGTGCATCCGGGGAGACGAGTCCGGCTTGTTTGACGTCGGGCTGAAACAGAAACGCAACAAAACACACGAAGACGTGAGAACATTTTAATGTAAACGGCAGGAGGACGAACGGAGCCAGACTCTGCCGCAGAAGAAGAAAAACTCCTCAAAGACGCGTCTTTTCCACCATCTTGGAAAATATCTCTTACAAGGGAGGCCTGAAGGCAGCTAACATGCATGTTTTTAATCTGTGGGAGGAAACCGGAGTACCCGGAGAAAACCCACGCAAGCACGAGAAGAACACGCAAACTCCACACACAAAGACCCCAGGTCCAACTGGGGATTGAATCCAGGACCTTCTTGCTGTGAGGCAACAGTGCTACCACTGAGCCATCGTGCTGCTGAAGCAGAATGACATTTATAAGCTAAAAGTAACAAAAGGTTATCTAAAATGAGCAAAACACTAGCTGAAATCTAAAATTAGTAGGATGGAAGATAAAAAACAAATAAAGCAAAAAGCTAAAGGTTGCAAAAAGCAAATGGCACCTGTAAGCAGCAGAATGGTAGCTAAAAGCTAACAAATGCAATGAGCTAATGAAAACCTAAAATAGCAGAATGGTAGCTAAAAGCAAAGAATTGCAATACGTTATTGAAAACCTAAAATAGCAGAATGGTAGCTAAAAGCTAAAAACAAAGT